GCGGGGGGGCCCCAGCCGTTCTCAGACTGTGGTGCAGGACCCAGCGGGGGTCACAGCCCCATTTCATGGGGGTGCCAAAGCTGGTGTGAGACTTGCTGGAGCCTGGGGCGGAAGCCAAAGTCGGATCCCCACCCCCTCGGCCCTCAGACTGTAGCCCAGCCCCACCCCCTGCCAGTGCTGAAGCCCACGTGCTGGTTTGGCCCCCCAGCCTGGGATCATGCCGTCAATTTTGTTGGGGGGGGGTCATGGTGCAGAGAAGTTTTAGAAACTCTGTAAAACTGCCCCCCTCGCTGTGTTACGGCAGCACTTGAATGGGGGGTTTCCAGGCCTCTGGCCCGGAGGAGTCAGGCGCCGAAATCCCTGAGGCACCAGGCACCTATCCTAGGCCCTCGTCCAGATCCGTTGGTGCGCGCCATGTAGCGTGCGGGCCACGGGGCGAGGGGAGCAGGCCTGGAGTTCAGTGCTAGTTTCTCATTCACCCCTTAGGGCTCACACGGGCTTGGGGCTTCCCATCCCCCGCTTAGGACTGTGCCCACAGCTGCACCCCAGAAGCCCAGCTCACGTGCTGTCCTCTTGTGGCAGAAACCCAGCACATCCCAAAGTGCTGTCGGGTGCAAACCTCGGCTGCAGCTATTTCAGTGGGGCTGTTTGCAGAGCTAAGGGCCTGCCTAAAGCTCTGCAGCAGCCCAGGCCCATACATAGGGGCTGTGTCTACACTGCACCCCTTTCACACTCCCTGAATTATTTCTCCAGCCTACAGGAATCGGGGAAGAAAACCATCCACCTCCCCACACGGGCAACAACAGGAAACCCTGCCTTCTAGGCACCAAGGTTCCCTGTGCTGACTTCACTCTCCTTCCTGCTGCTTTCTCCAGAAGAAACCCTGTTTCCCAACACAAACCGGGGGGTGGGGGAGAGGAGGGAGGGACAGTTACTGGCAGTTGAAACTGACCCGAAGTATAAGAAAAAATCAAGCTTCCCAATTGCAACGCAACCCCTCCCCCGGACCCGTCTGTACAATCACACAAGCGTGACTGAGTGACTTCATCATGCGCATGATAATGCTACAGCATGAGACTGCCCCAGCTGTAAAGAAAAGAAAACTGGAAACAAAAACCTTCAAAGAGTTTGCTCAGAAAAGGGAAAGCACCAGATCAGGGATTATCTGAGAGTTGGGGTGAAGGAAACTGGTCTGAAGCTGGTGAGCTGGGTCCCCAGCTATGGGGAGGGGGTGTCGTCTGGGGGAAAGGCAGGAGACCTGTGTTTCTGGGGAGGCGGAGGGTTCTCTCTGTGCATGTTTCTGTCTCTGAAGGGATTTGGTCTCTGAGGACTGGAGCAGTATGGGAAGGGGTCGTCTCAGAGATTTCTAAAGGTTCCTATCTCACAGCAGTGCCTACACCAGAAAAATTAGCAGTGTGTGTGTGTACGTGTGTGTGTGTGTGTATATATGTGTGTGTGTACGTGTGTGTGTGTGTGTGTGTGTGTGCTTGGTGGGAATGTGGGCGCAGGCGTCTAAACCTGCAGCCGAAGGTGGCTCCGCTGCTCTGGCCCAGGGCGTGTGGTGTGAAATGGGGTGATCTGGTCTCTGGTCCCCAGGTTCCTCCTCACCTGAATCTCTCCTGGCCAGCTGTGTCCCAAAGCTGCAGCTTCACCTTGATGCCGGGAGGCAGCTCCATCATCTTGCTGTAGAATTCCACGCCCACGGTGGGGCAGGGAGCCGGGATGAAGCAGCCCTCAGTGTAGCGCCTCAGCAGCGAGGACTTGCCCACGGTGGAATCCCCCAGCAGGATGATCCGGAACTGGTAGTGCCAGTTGCCATTCAGGTTAGAGACCGGAGGGGATGGGACTGGCTCCATGCCAGGAGGGGCAGAGGGGCTGGGTTTGGGGGGACTGGAGCAGCCTTTGGTTTAGGGCACCGATTCCCCACAGGAAGCCTGGGGCGAGTTGGCCTGGAGGAGGTCACAGGCCCAGACCCTGGCATGGAATGACTGAGAGAGACAAAGGAGAGGGAATTTAACCAGAGGTCTCCACCCTCATCTCATTAACCTCCTCCCACCCCACCCTAGTGGAGTCCTCTCTGGGAGCAAAGTTCTTCTATGGGGAGAGAGTCACGCCCCCAGCCTCAGTCCCTATCACCTACCCCCACCCCCAGCCAACAAACAGACAACTCCTCTGGATCAGATTACTGTCAAGCTGGGGGGGGGGATGCAATTCTAGGAATGTAGCCGTTGTCAGACCAGATTGGAGCTGGGGTCCATCTGATCCGGTGCCCTGTCTCTGCGCAGGAAACCCCACAGTGGGCAGCTCTGCCCGTAAGAGAAGCTTCATCCTGCCCATAGGCTGCTGTTTTAGGCCCTGAAACATGGAGGGATTTAGATCCTCTTCGGTCTTTTTGTCTGGTCCCATGTCACCGTGAACTGTTCTTATTTGGGTCTTTCTTCGCATTTGTGCCAGTCAGCCCCCAACCTCAGTTATCCAAGGGAACTGAAAGAACATTCAGTGATTGGCATTCAAATAGAGACCATCTCCCCTCCCATTCACTAGCCCCGGCGGCCACGCGGCAGTTACGGATCCAGAAGCTTAGGCAAGAGCCCGGCGGTTTGCAAACTTTTCTTCTCATGACCCAGTTGAAGAAAACTGTTGATGCTCCGACCCAACAGTGTAGGCTCCAGGTGGGGCTGAGGATGGGAGCTTTAGGGTGTAGAAGGCAGATCTGGCTTTGGGGGAACAGGGCTGGGGCAGGGGCTCAATTGGCTCCCTGGCAGCAGTGCAGGGGGGGCAGGAGGTTAAGGCAGCTTCCTGCCTTTCCTGGCACCACAGGCCACGCTGCACCCCAGAAGCAGCCGGCAGCAGGTTCCCAGCCAATGAGAGCGCAGAGCTACGGGGCAGCGCGAGGACCCCTGTGCGCTCTCCACACACCCCACCTAGGAGCTGGGCCTGCTGCTAGGGGTGCAGTGTGGTCTGCAGAGCCAGGCCAGGCAGGGAGCTGCCTTAGCCCCCCCCCCTGCTCACCTGACCCCCCTGGTGCAGCGAGACCCAGTGCCCGACATTCCACCCCCCACTCCTGGGTCACGACCCGTCATTTGGAAACCCCTGGCCTAGCCAGCTCTCCACAGATCCCCAGCAAGTGCTCTGTGGAGCCCAGTTGGAGAGCAGAAAGCCCAGCCGTGGATTGGGAGTGAGGGCCGCACGGCTCCGTCCTGTTGTTTGTCTGTGCTGGCTCCCGGCTGGGTTTTCACTAGGTTTTCCTCTGCCCCTTAACATTTCCCCTGTTGCAGTCCCCACTGATAGCAGCACTGGGGGAGACCTTGGGCAGATGAGCTTGTCTACCTGGGATGGTAACTAAAATGCAGAGATTCCACGGCCAGAAGGGACCGTTGGGATCATTCTGCTCAGAACAGGCCAGTCTCCCCAGACTAATTCCTGAGCAAGAGCAGCACTTTTCAAATCCCAGCGCACTGCCTACACTAGAGCTCCCACCACATGTATGAGGACGGGGCTGCAGCAGTGGGACACTGTAGGGCAGGGGGCGATGGGAAGTCTAGTCTTGGCAAGACCCCAATGACCAGCACTCGCCTTGGGAAGTCTCATGTTGGCAACCAGATGGACTCAAACAACTGTGTTGGGGCAACACGCCTTTGTCCCAACCATCCCATATCAGGGTTTAGTGTAGCTTGTGTAGACAGACCCAAACTGGGCTCAAACCAATTAAGGGACAGGACTCCTGCTGAGCATTCAGCCCAGTCCTGCTGGGGAGACCACGGCACCACATGGACTGAAGGCCAAGGAGGACATGTACCGAGGTGCCAGAGGGCTCGGAGACAGGCCTTGCTAGAAGAGCCGTGCAGGAGAGTAGAGAGGAGCCTGGCTAGGAGCTGCCTGTAGCAGGGCTTTCTGCCTCGGCTCTAATGCCTTGGGTAGGCAGGGCCAAAGGGGGAGACAGGAACCACAACTTAAGAACTTAAGAGCTGCCACACTGGGTCAGACTACATAGTCCATCTTGCCCAGTGTCCTGTCTCCAGTGGTGGCCCTGGCCAGAGCTTCAGAGGGAGTGTGGAGAACAAGGCCATTAGGGAGTGATCTACTCCTGGCTTCTGGTAGCAGGTTAGGGTTGCCCCCAGCATACAGTTGCATCCCTGCCCATCATAGCTGATAAGCATCGGGACCTATTCTCAGTGAACTGAGCCAGTTCTCATTTGAACCCAGTTCCACTTATGGACCACACAACATCCCATGGCCGTAAGTCCCAGAGCTGCCTGAGCCGTGCAGCGTGTGAAAAAGCACGTCCTCTTGATTGGAGTAAAATGCTGCCTATCAATTTCATCAAATGACCCCTGGGTTTCACCCGGTGGGGCACAGTGATTGCTATTTCTCTAGTCACCTTTTCTGCACCACTCGGGTTTTAATAGATCTGCATCGCACCCTGCTCAGTCGTCTCTTTTCCTAAGCTGAACAATTCTCATCTTTTTGATGCTCCCTGTATGGAAGCTGTTCCACACCCAGGACCAGCTTTGTTGTCCTTTTCTGAACTTTTTCATCCCACTGTAGCCTGAGATGGAGCAACCAGAACTGGCCATAGTATTCCAGGTGGGGGTGCACGATGGATTTCTGTAGTGGCATTGTGATCTCTCCCACGTTAAGGCCTGACGGGGTGTGTGTTTACATTTGAGCTGGGATTCCCATGTGCATAGACAGACCCGTGCTAGCTCTGCTCCAGAAAGCATGTACAAATAGCAACAAGGCCACAGGTGCTGGTTCAGGCTAGGTGCCCTACGAGCAATCCCACCTGAGCACCTGGGTCTGTCTTCAAGCCACCGCCCATGCAGGGACACGCTGCTAGCTGGAGCAGGGCGAGGATCAAAACTCTCTTCCTGGAAGCTTGCCATGTATCACTGCTGCATAGAATCCAGAAATCTAACTCATGGCAGCTGAATAGAGGGAGAGGCCCGGAGGGCAGAGGGGCACAACTCACCCCACCTTGTGCCAGATCCCATGCTACCTGCAGAGCCCCCGGCCTACAAGCAGGAGCAGGAAGTCCTGCGAATGTAAAGGGAGAGCTTGTAATTTCAGCACCATTCTCAATACTCCGCACACAACAAGCGCGACAGCCAGGCTCTGCTGAAGTCAAACGGACTCCAAGCACCCACAGCTCTAGCTGCTGGCTTCAGTCTCCGACCATAGGGCAGGGCTGGATCAGAGGCCACTGACCCACAGAAAAATCAGTCGGGGCGCACACAAGTGAGAAGCAAAAAAACCCCAAAGACCCAAACCCTCACTGACCTGGCCCCCGACTGAGGACACTCCCCAGGTTCCACTGGGGGAGGGCAGCCTAGATTTTGTGTCTCCAGCCCTGCACCGGGGGGGTCTGCAGCACCAGTGTGGGCTCCCCAATTCTGGGCGGGGAGCCCCACGCCTCCAGGCTGATCTAGGCAAGCTGGGAGTCGCAGCCAGGCCCCGGGTTCTCCACCCCTGCTATAGGGCTTGAGAACAGTTTTGCCCCTAGCCTGGCCAAGCAGGGTCCCTGGAAGGGCTGGGTTCTGTGAGTTTGGCCCGGTCTATGTGACCGGGAGGAGAGGGGCAGAACCCCTGGGAGGGAATTTCAGTGCACACGGGTCCTTGAGTTAATTAGCAAAGAGATTATCTAGGAAGATACGTGCAGCAAAGCCAAGAACGAATCAAGTAAAGGGATTCAACTGGCTCCAGCTAAAGGAGCTCTGAAGGCTTTGCAAACAATAGAAGTTTGCAGTGTCAGGCGGGGCAGAGGCGGCCTTATCAGCAACCAATCTGCCCCTCCTCCTGGTGCTTCTCTTTATTGGGGTAAGAAGACATCTCTCTGGACATCTCTCCACTAAGAGACCTGCCAGCAAAGGGGAAAGGGAGCTGGGGGAGCAGGGATGGGAGCCAGCTGCAGTGCAGGCATGTTGGCTGGGCTGCCCACACTGGCCAGGTTTCAAAAGTGCTCAGCCCACGGGGCAGAGGAATTCACTGAACTCAACAGGGGTTTGATGCCCAAATCTGTAGAGCTGAGCCTGATCTTGGAAAGACTGGCCCCTGAGCAGGGTTCCCTGTAAGCTGGGGGCTCATGGGGCACTCAGGAGAGATTCCAGTGGCAACATGTGCATCCATGGTGGTGCACATCTACACATGCCTTGGTGCACATCACAAAAATTATTCCACACATCTTGCCCAGGGCCCCAGCAGTTCCCTGAGCCGCGCTGTATCTAAACTAATTGAGAGTTTTATCCATCTGACCATCCCCCTAGTACAGGGGTGGCCAACCCGTTAGAGATGAAGAGCCAAAATAGCAGTGGATAGAGTGTGAAGAGCCACGTACTGGGGGGGTGGGCGATTGGGAGTTATTGAACAAAAAAAACCAAACCAAACCAAAAAACAGACCGGGGGAAAATAGGTGCCGGTACACCTTCCCGGAGCATACCATCACAAACAAAGCACTGGGAAGGGTGAGAGGTGCAGGAGGAAGTAGAGAAGAGGATGCTGGCTCAGGGAGGGGGCTCCAGGCTGGGGAGTGTTGGGGTCAGGTGCAGGGTTGGGGTGCTGAGCAAGCTGTAGACTTGTGGCTGTGAGGGTGCAGGAGTTTGGGCTGGGGTGCATGAGGGGCTCAGGGCGGGGAGGTTGGGAGTCTGATGGGCTCAGGACACAGATTTGCAGTGTGTGGAGGCTGCCGGAGTGTTGTGGCAGGAGACTGGGGCTGCAGGAGTTTGGGGATGTGAGGGACTCAGGTTTGGGGTCGGGGGGTGGTGGAGCAGGAGTGTTACGATGCTTTGGCCAGATGGGGCTTGTTGGCCAGGCTTCATTTTTAAATAAAATGTCAAACAAAATGTTTCACCGTTGTCTGTATTTATGAGGAATGGGGAACCTGTTTTGAGTCGGGGCCACACAAGTGAGCTCCAAAAAAACCCAAGCCTCACTAATGTGGCTCCTCACTAGTGCTGGTGGGGGCAAGGGACAGGGTGCTGGTGGGTGCTGAGGCAGGGGGCAGGGGGCTT